CTCTGTTCACTTCTTCAGATCTATTTAAGCATCCATATTTTAAAAACCGTGAGATTCCTTTTTGCATCATGAAAACGTTATTCTGCATTGTCTAATGGCAGTGCTAGATTTGCTGAAATTTAGGTGGGAGTATTATAAGAAAAGTTAATAGGAAAAATTTAAAAATTAATAGGAAAAAACTCAGAGGTAATATTGCCTAGTGATTAAGAGCACGGTCCCTAGAATCCAACAGCCTGGGTTGGACATCTAACCACCTGGTTTATTAGGTGTGTGACCTTGGGCGTCTTTACATAACCTCTCTGTAATTTCATCCTTTTACATGCAAAATGAAAATAATAATGCCTACCCTAGAGGGTTACTGAGAGCATTAAGTGAGCTCATGTATATACAGCGCAGTGGACAGTGTCTGCTGTTTAGGAAGTGTTATATGTGCTCCTGCTATTGTTTCTGTTGCTATGTAACAAATACCATTTTTTCCCATTCATTACTTATTGTCTTTCTAAAGGATACAATCACAAAAAGAAAAATTTCATATAGCATACATTGAATGTAGAAACCAAAGCTTGAGGGATCTTTTCTAGTTAAGTCAGAAGTGAAGTAACACTGCTCTTGATGTAAGAAACATCCAGACAGGTAGAGAATTTTTATAAGATTTTTTTTGAGCCAAACTGACAGCTTCTGCCGGGGAGCAAGATCTCCAGTGCTCCAAAGAACAACAGTTTGCAGTTTCTTTTATGTGTTTGAGATTGAGGAGGGGATGTAAGGAAGATTACATGGAGGTGGGAGAGAGCAAGGCTGGGATCGGATGACAGGATGGTTATGATTTTGGGCTCTCTTGAGGGTGATCCACTTTAGAAAGAGGGTCTGAAAGGGTGACCAGTACTAGAAGGAGGGTCTGAAAAGAGGCATTTCAAAGGTGTGTTAACTGAGATACATGGAAACAATGGACAGGATTGCTTAAGGCAAATAGATGACTTTTAGTAAAAAAGTGATAGGCCTGGGGCATGACTACCCACCATGACCTGCCCAGTTAGGAATTGATGAGCAGATGACCCCATGAGGTTACCTTTCATAGAATCCCTTTTTTCGCCCACACTATTTAAAAGTAGCTGGAAAAGTTACTTTTTGTCCAGAATGACTATCCTCTGAGAACTCCACTTGATTCTTTCTACCAGCCTCCCGCTTTTCTATGGCCCCTAAGTCTAAGGTTCAACTTAAGATAAGTGTCATCATAGTAATTTTGTGCAAATGTGTTTTCCTTTCTACCTGCTCCGATGATGTCTCCTCCCCACCTAGAATTCATGCTGCCTACTTGTCCTGAAAAATCTCCACTACTGCATGCCAACCTCCTAAAAAAAAAGCCTTGTGTTCCTCGCTAATACTCACCTTCAGTTTAGAGCAACCTACCTTGGTCCTGTAGCTTCACAGACTCCTTACCAGCCTGCCGTCCCACAGGAACATGGTCAAACTCCATTTATGCTGTGTCAAGTCATTACTGAGCATAAAGTCCACATGGCTCTTATAGACAAAGGAATGAATTACTGATGGGAGAATTTCTGTTTCTGGCAGCAGGGAGATTTCGTAGTAAGGAGACCATTTCAATGCAAACAGTTTGTACTCACAGCTGGTCCCACATGCCCAATTTCCAAATGAGAAGTAGAAAAGAATAGTCGGGATTCCATTTTTATTCAGTATAAATCAATCCATATGGGTAAATTTTTTTCTTTATTGTTCAAAATATTACAGATGCCCCCTTTTTTGCCCATTGACCCCCTCCACCCTGCTCCCACTCCTGGCCCCAGGCCTCCACCACACTATTGTCTGTGTCCATGGGTTATGCATATACGCATATAAATTACTTGGTTAATCTCTCCCCACCCACCCACCTCCCCTCTGAGATTCGTCAGAGAAAGACAAATATCACATGATCTCACTTATATGTGGAATGTAAAGAACATAATAATCTGATGAACAAAATAGATTCGGTGACATAGAATTCATATGGGTGAATAAAATTCATATGGGTGAATTTTTTATCAAAATCAGTAATACCGTCTTTCTGTGTGCTTTTCCCTTAAGAGTGTTTTTTCCCCTTGTTGGTAGTAGCCTTGTTCAGCTCCTGTGACTATTAGCTATTTCAACCAATGCTTATAGCAAATGGGGTGGTGGAGACAGAGCAAGATCTTCCAGTGTCAGAAGCGCTGAACCCGTTGCCCAGGTCTGACACTTACAAGATAGGTGACTTTCGACAAGTTAGTTAAACATCTCTGAGCCTCAGTACTCTCATCTGTAAAACAGTGAAAACATTATGTACTTCCCAGGGCCAGGAGGAAGAATAATTAAAGTGGTGTATCTGTAAGTGCTTCGTAAACTGTAAAGCCCTTTACACGTTACATTTGTTTCTCTAAATCACCATCATGACAGAGAGAAGTAATATGAGTTAATAATAATACTGAGTAAGAATTACCTTACTGCCAAGGCTAAGATTGGACTTCAGCCACTTCTGAATTTTCAAACAAAGGCTTTTTTAAAATATATCTTTATTGTTGAATCAGGCAAAGTTTTTATCCTAGTATCCATGAGGTTTGGCAGGTAATTCTCATTGATAGCTGGCAATATGAAAAATCTAAATAAAATGCACACATTAGATTTTAGGAAAAGCAGAGACAGAACTGCCTCTTGCATGCCTCTTATATTTTCCCCAGCGCCAAGACTAGACCAATAATCAGTCCTCGATAAATATGGCTTGTTGATTTTAGGGTCATTTATTTTTGAGGGTACAACAATGATATTTATATGCAGTGTAACGTAAATGACAAAGATGAAAGTTAGCAGGCTCATGAGTCGGCATCCTATTTGTGCTTGGAAAGACCTGTCGTGTGTTCAGCCAGGTGCTGATGACTTCACGACGTACATGACCTTAAGGACCTGTCGATGGAGCCTGTAAAGGCAGGATGTGAAAATTCAAATGTACTGTCGTTTATGTGCCTGTTAACATAAAGAGATGGCTGGTTTTAAGTGCATACTCTGAGGCAAAGTTAGAAGTAGTGTACAGATCATATACAAGAGGGAAAGGAGAGTCAAAGAGGGAAGTGGTGGGACTCCCTGGATAACTTGGATCTGTTGGCTTTTCATCCCTGAATTATTTAGATCAATGAGCCTCACTTTTTTACTGAAGAGGTAGAAAATTCGGCAGGGCAGGTTTTCCCACGCAGGCACACAAACATAAAAATGGATGCATATTTGATTAAACTCCATTTCCGCAAGAAGCTCAGTACTAATTTTCCACCACGTTGGTTCATTTCGAAATCAGGCGATTTCCTTCCAGAACATAGTTTTTGATGGAATAGAGATAGATGCTATTCAATCCGTTTTAATATTTCCCTTTTTTCAATTTCAGATGTGGTTCTATCCCTTTATTTCCCTCTTCTCTTCAAGTCAAAGGAAATGGGACAGAATTCTCTTTAGAGCCCATCAGGGGTACTTTGGCTGCCAAAAATAGTGACAGGAGACATTTATTGTCCATCTACCTTACTCCTGCAACATTCAAAATTCTGCGTCCAAGGCGCTATGACTGAAAACACAGGCCAGCTCTTCAGAATTTCTAACACGTCATTGCTGCCACATTCCCCCCTTACTTTAGGAGAGTATTTTAATTCAATCTTAGAACGAGAGAGAGAGAAAAAAAAAAACTTTTCTAGTTACACAGGTCAATCCAATTGTTCGGAGCTTCAGAATGAATTTTTAAACTTGTTGAACAGAAGCATACAAATCTCTAAGAGCAAGTCAGATAATATACAAAGCCTCCATTCATTGTGTAGGCAGAAAGGAATGCTGGTACCCGGCAGCTCTCTAAGGAATGTTCTTTTGGCTTTGACTGTTCTACTGGGAACAAGGAGGGAAACACATATATAAAATGAATTTATAATGTCTCTGGCTTATAATGGCCAAATGATAAGAAAAGTTGGCTGTTTAATATAAACTGTCAGCTGCATATTCCAGGCCTCCTCTCTTTGAGGTCCCTCCCACATCCACGGGCCTGGCTACCGTTTAGTGGGGAGTACAAAGTGGCTGTTTATGATTATTGACTGGTGAGGCCTGTGCTCCGAAATTCATTCTGTCAACAGAATGTAAGCAAAGTTGGCATTTTAAAGCAGGGCTCTTTTCAGTCGCTGGGTTTTCTCGGGATTGCTATGCAACAGGATCAGTGCTGTAGTCCCCGGTTCAAGCTGAAAATGTTACACAGGAAGACATACCATGTAAAGGTCAGATTCTTCTCCTGCGATGATTTTCTTGATCTGTGTATATACGAATGAGGTTGAATGCCTAATGTCTTATCGTAACTCTTAGCGAGGTCCTATGGACTTTCCACCTGGCAAGCCTAAAAATATAATGGTATTTAAATGGGAAATCTTACTAATAAATGTATGTGATGCTGTAATGAACGTATGATGCTATAATACCAAGGTGAACTTAATGCGTCCTGTCAAGAAGATGCTCTCCTGAGATAGGATCCTGTTCGTGTGCTGGTGCCAAGGACCGAGGACAGTTTTCTCTATTTTTCTTTCCAAGCTTCTGTAGTCAGGGTCAACTCCACAGATGACCGTGTGCGTGGAAAATATCACTTGATCTGTAGTATAATGAAATGATTGGCGTTGGGATTTTATTTCATATCACTTCCATAAAACAATATGTTCCATTCATGATCTAGAAGATATAACTTAAGAAATCCACAGTTATAAGTCTATTGTTTCAATTCATAATGTCAAAGAATAAACTCATTATACGTAATAAGATGCCCATTTTCAATCTACGTAATAACGCGAAGAGATACACCAAGAAAAGCGAATTGGAAGCGCGTCTTTTTGTTAGCTGGCCCAGTTGAAATGTTTTTTTTTGAACTAGTAGTTTCTTTTTTACAATTCTCCAAATTCACCTTTGTAGCTGGTCTCTTCTGTTGTTTCAATTCTGCCTGTGTTTTCCTCCCTGCTGTGCTGTAGGACCTCCAAGGAGAAATCGAAGCTCACACCGATATCTATCACAACCTGGATGAAAACGGCCAAAAGATCCTGAGGTCCCTGGAAGGTTCTGATGACGCAGTCCTCCTACAGAGACGTTTGGACAACATGAACTTCAAGTGGAGTGAGCTGCGGAAAAAGTCTCTCAACATTAGGTAGGAAAAGATCAGGGTCAAGAAAGCCAGAAATGAATTAAAATGGCACAATTTCCCTCATTTTTCTAGCACAAGTAGCTAATATCTCATGTGTTTATGTAAATCACCCAATTTCAGGATGATTCATTTTATTTTGAATAAATGAATCATTCATTTGCTTGGTATGGAGATGATACTTGAAGGTTCGGATTAAAGTGCTGATGTTTTATAACCACGGGAGAGATGCATATTAAGGCATGAGAGTGAATTTAAATAGTGGAATACAGCTATCCTAATTTCATAGAGTTCTTTCTTGGTTTATCACAGGGTTATGCAAAAAGTGATGAAATTACAGGTTTGTTTACATGGAATTATTTCTTTGGCATTATTCTAAATGCATAACAGAGGATTCTTTTTTACTTTTCAATTACTGTTTACATTTCATATTATACCGTATTAGTTTCAGATGTACAGCATAGTGGTTAGAAAATTATCCAACCCCATTTGTTAAAAACACAAAAATCTTCCCCACTGCACTACAGAGTCATCTTTACCACATTGGATTTTAATGGGCCTTTTTCTTTCAGATATTAATTTTCCTTGCACCTTTGGGTCTATTTTCAGGTTACCTATTATATTCCATCGTTGCTAATTGGTGCTAGTTACTCTAGCTTTCTTAGTCTCAGTATCTGGTAAGGCAAGCAGCCTTACATAATTCCCCCAGATTGTCTGATCTTTTTACAGAGATGGAAATGCTCACCAGATATTCCCCGTGCTACCTTTCAGTTACCTGCCCCTTGTAGTCAGGCGGAGCCACAGGATTAGTCCTGTTAAACAGATTAGGAGCAGAAGTGTCACTTCAGGGCCAAAGCTTTATAGAGGAAATGTCAACTTTCTCGCACTCTCTTCACCTAACAGAGGACACTCTTGAAATACCATAGCCCATTATAATTAACAGTTTAGGGGAGACTTCCCCACAGCTCCCGAAGCTACGGAGAGATGATAGCACCTTCCCTTCAACTTCCCGTCCTTTGCCTCCTCTCAGATTTTGTCACCACCCGCCTGTAGACTAGGCCATTAGCTGTGCGCACCTATTTTCTTCTTGGCCCCTTCCCGTGTATGAGGCTCCCCTCGGGCAGCTGATGGCTGCATCTCAGCAGTGTTGTAAGGAGGGCGGAGTGAAGCTCTTGCTATATCCATTTAACAATAATTCCGTGTTGGGGACAAAGCGCAGCGATAGTTAAGGAAAAGGCCCAGTGTCACCTGAGTGACAGGAAGCCCAGGGAGCGGGCATCAGGCGTCCTGCTTGCTAATTGGTTGCTTTTCCTAATTCCTGTCTTTTTATGAAGATATTGTGTGTTTTCTCCTGTGTCTAGAGGAGGGGGGGTAGTGGAGGAAGGCAGATGGGGACAAATGGGCTTGATAATATTCATGAGGGACGCACAAAACAGTGGGAGCAGTTCCTACCTCTAGGCTGTGAGATTACAGAAGGGACATTTCTTTTCTTCTTTATAGTTCTAAATTGTCCAAACTTTTGACATACGGCATATTTACTACCATGATGAGAAAACCTATAACAGAAATGTATTCATTTGAAAGCACTCATAAAAAATCTGCACCTAATCTGAAATAATAGTAACAGGAACTACCGTATGGTACACCATGCAATGTCATGGACACTTTCAGCAGCCCTAAAAGACTGGTTTTATTATCACCCTCTCTTTGCATGTGAAGAAAGTCAGGCACAGAGAGGCTCAATAACTTGCCCAAAGTCACTTAGTAAGTGGCAGATCCAAGACCCGAACATAGGGAGTCTGGCTCCGGAGTGTGAGCTTTTACCCGTCAAGTTATAGAGCATAAAGAAGGAAGTTAGGCTTTTTTGCAGGACAGGAAAACGAAGGTGCTATAACTGTTCTGAACATCACTCAGTGTCTTTTCTCTCCTTCATGTGAACTTGATGAAATAAAAGGGGAATTGAAAGCGGCAAACAGCATGTCAGCCAAAATATGGGCTCTTCATTCTTAGCAATTTCCCATATGCCGGCTACTGCAGTTTAATTCTTACTCTCATTAATCAAGTAGAAAACAGTTAGCTTAGCTTATATGAGGTGCTGCAAATTCTAGAATTTAAATATTCAGATCAATGGTTCTGGCTTTTTAATACACCTCTCTAATAATACAGGATGTGTTATAAATGATCACTTTTAAACAGCAAAGAAATAATTCTTTAACATCAAAGCAATTCAGTTTATTTCCTGACACTCGGTTGAAATAAGGGCATCAGTCAATCCATACAGAATGACGGAGTGCATTTGAGAGAAGCACAGTAGGAGAAGTAATTTGGGGTGATTATGAAATAGGGTAGATAACACTGGGAGAGTAGATGCAGAGCCATGAATGACACTTAGAAGCTTCCATCATGAACCTAGTCGGTTTCTCCCTCGGCATTATTTTTCAGCGAAAAGTCACCACAGTTAAAAAATAGTTCCAGAGACCCCCTGAAAAAACAGCCCTGTGTTTGCCCAGGCTATAACATAGTATGCTAAAAATTTACAGTTGCTCCAGTGTTTTATGGGGAATTCTGAAGCCAGTTTTACATGTCAGTATAGAAAAACATTCGTGCTTGATTTCACAGGTGTTCATTTTCAATGAAAAAAATTAGAGTTTGAATCCAAATGATTCTGAAGTTTTCCTTTGAGTTCTATTGGCTCTTAAAGGGTCTCCTTATGCTTGCAGATCCAAGTCCATATTATGTCCTTTCCACTCCATTTGTTTTCCTCCCACCCTATGTCTTTTCTTTACCTGAGATCATGATCTTATTTGAGTCTCCATCAAGTTATTCCATATTGGAAGATTTCGCCTCTGTTCCTTTCCATGTTGACATCATCCATTCCACATTTGCAAAAATATTCTTCCTTGGGCACTGTTTCTTTTTTTTTTTTTTTTTTTAGTATATCTTCATTGATTTCAGAGAGAGGGAGGGAGAGGGAGAGAAACATCCATGATGAGAGAGTCATTGATCGGCTGCCTCTCGCACACCCCCTGCTGGGGATCGAGCCTGCAGCCGGGGCCTGTGCCCTGACGGGGAATTGAACCGCGATCTCCCGGATCCTAGGTCAACGCTCAACCCCTGAGCCACACCCGGCCGGGCTGGACACCGTTTCTATCACATTGTCCCTTTGGTCAAGAACTTCAGTCTTGTTGAGACCCATATTTTTGTCGTTCATTCATTTATCTGTTCATTCAACAAGCATCTACTGAGTGTCTGCTGCATACTAGGCGTTCTTCTAGGCACTGAGGATACAACAGTGAACAAACAGACAAAGGGAAATCATTGCTCAGGAAGCTTATACTTACTCTCTAGAATCTAGCGGCCCTTCACTCTCTACCAGCTGTGCCTAACAAGACCCTGCCAACCCTTCCCTTTTCTGTCCTTCCCAGGCCTCCGGGTCCCTTCCTCTCCAAGCAGCAATCTCGTTCCTGCCCGACACGGATCCTCTGAGCCAAGCGGACTCTGCTCTCTTGCCCCCCTCCCGCTCTCCTGTAGGAACGTGTGCCTTTGCTGGCCCTCACACTCAGAATGCCATCTCTCCTCTCACCCCCCAAGCTTTGGCTCGCATAACATAACATTTTGCTCTCTGCCAGTTCCCTCAGCAGGCCTCCCCTGTAGCATTCTCATGCACCCTTGATGGCAAATCCCTTTAAGGGTTCATGAGTTGTCCCCCAGGCCTGTGCTTGCTGCCTCCGGCTCAACAGATGAAACAAAAAGCCCGAGCTCTCCGTGACTCAGTGGGGCAGAGCAGAAAGGGTTGGGACCAGCAGTTGGGCGCTCCAGCTTCTCTCCTGGCTCTGTCACTACCTTCCTAGCGCGTAATCTCGAGCACCTCGAGCACATCGCTTAACTGCTTCAGACTTTCATGTTCTCCCTCACTGAAATGAGGAGCTTTGACCAGACTCATGGGCGGCATACCCAGCTTCCCTTGCCATTCTTCAGTTCGATTGCTTTTAATTCTGCAATCTCTCTTTACGGACGCAAGCTAATTATGGATCATTTCTCCCTTGGTGTTTTTTTTTTTTAAATATTTCAGTGGAGCTGATTAAGTTCAAAGATATGATCTGAGGAAAAGTAAATAAGATGTCTTTGGGGAAAAAAGAATACTTTAATTGGAATCGTGTCGTACTATTTCATAATTTAGTTCAAGGACAGTGTATGCCCTCTCTTGCGCGTGTATTTTGTGCAAGAGTTATAATGGGAAGAATACTCAGTGATAGTTGAGTGCCATCAGACAAAAGGAAATGTTAACTGATTTAAGTGGGAGAGGAATGAAGTGAAAAATGTGTACTTGCATGTATACATACACGCACACGCACATACACACACACGCGTGCACACACAGTCATTGCTGCCCTTATCTAACACTAGTACTGAGATTAGTCCCAGAAAGCTTCTCATCCTAAAACATTCTATATCCACAAACTTTACATTTTAATTTGGAAAGTATTAATAATTTGAGAAGTGTTCAAGTGAATTTTTTACATAAGCAATATATATGAATATTTTCATTTAATCTGCCAACAGATTATGCTTTCCAGATTATTGTTTATACTATTAACTATGAGAATTGCATATGTTGTCAACCTAATTGCAGCAAAATTTACATTCTATGAGATGTTTATACTTGGGAGAAAATTTTATAAGTGTTATATATAAATAATAACTTTTATGAAATTTTGAGCATTAATTTGAGAGGCTAGAACACCAGCATTATAGAGTCTAGAGCAGCAATAAATCTCCAAGAGACTGCTTGGTATTAGAAGTTAAAATAATTAGAAGTTTTTCTATAATGAGGAACAAAGAAAGAGCAAAAGGAGGCCGAGCCCTGCAACCTTTGAGCAAAAAATGCAACTTGGACATTGAGTGTCTCTGACCTCCTTTCTCTCATTCTCGGAATGTTAATTATGTTTGAAAGTTGGAGTTCGTGGCCCATCTGGAAAAGAAATGTTTACTTCTCGTTGAGCTTAATTTTCGCTCTTTATTTAAAGCCCCATAGCTCCCATTATATTTGTGTGGCTCCTTATTATTTCTGCATTCTTACCTTTTCTTTCTGTATGCTAAAGTGCTATCGTATTACACAAGGGTACCAAAGATATACAGGGATATAGCATTAGTTTTATAAAGGAAGTCAAAGTGAAAAATGAATTCAATATAACACATTTTGCTTTAAGAATACATGCCTTCCAAAGTTTTATTAAGGATTTCAAACTAGGCATCAACTAAATCACACTTGAAATGTCTGTGTCTAGAGAAATAGCAATCACTTTAGCAGCCCCCATAATTCTTAGAGTCCTGACACTGAAGAGTTCCTTAAAGACCAAGAAGTATATCCCAACACACCTAAAGGTTCTGCATTTTACCTAAACCTTACAAGTTGTAGAAATTATCTGCTTATTAAAGATCAGCACTTGCCTTGTTAAAAGCTAGTAGCCCCTAAGCTCTTGTCTTCACTGATAAAGATTAATAGAAAATGGATAGAAGCTAAGTGCCTCTTCAAACCTCCTCTGTTATTTTCTGTTGAGTACACAGGGGTAAGTGCATCTGCCAATTACTAGGAAGACTTTTACTCAGGGATCCAAAACATTTGGTTAAAAATCACTAAGGTTAAGGATTTCCTCATATAAGAAAAGTTTGTAATTTCTGTTTCCTGTGTCTTAATATGACAGCTTAAGTATGTGCTTCAGCAGCTGTCTTTATGCCTTTGCATCTCCGTTTCCACATTTGCAAAACAAGGTTGAACAACACTCTCTAAGGTTCCTTCCAGCCCTAACAGCCTATGATAAAAGGGGGCTGAGGGAAAGTCATTACAAATAGAAAAAACATTTTCAGGAAGAGACATTCTAAATACTAACATAGGTTAATTATTTAGAAATATTTGGTATACAATCTTGAAAATAGAAGTAAGGCAGCCATTTCCAAAATGCATTGGAAATGTGTCTTAGAAACACTTCATGAGCTTAGCATGACCAAAGAAAATGTTTTCTGAGCTCATAGTCTTTTGTTACATTTAGATTCCTTCACCCGGCCAGCATGGCTCAGTGGTTGAGTGTCGCCCCATGAACCAGGAGGTCACAGTTCAATTCCCAGTCAGGGCACAGGCCCAGGTTGCGGGCTCGATCCCCAGCAGGGGGCCTGCAGGAGGCAGCCGACCAATGACTCATCATTGTCGTTTCTATCTCTCTCTCCCTCTCCCTTCCTCTCTCTGAAATCAGTAAAAAAAAAACCAAAAACCACACACATATTAAAAAATAGATCTCCTTCAAAATCATGTCACTGACATACATCACCTTTGCCCTGTGGAGACCAACAAGTAATATTTAGGGCACGTAGGAAATACTTTTAAAAATTCTTTCTCAAAGAATGTTCTTGGAGTTTAACTGCTGAGTTGTGATGGTTCTTATTAAAAGTACAAAAATTCTGAAGGTGGAACCTAAGAATCTGTAGTTTAAACTCTACAAGCTACTCAGATGTTTCTTATGGACACTGAAGATCGAGAACTGGGCCTGTAGATCGGCTATCTTTGTAAATGTTGTTTAAATCCGGAGCCATTACCTGACCGGCTTTCTCCTCTCCCACCCTCTGTCCTCTGTCCTCTGTCCTCTGTCCTCTGTCCTCTGTCCTCTGTCCTCTGTCCTCTGTCCTCTGTTCTCTGTCCTCTGCAAGGCTTTTGCTTAAGTTTTTGTCTCCATATCATCTCTTTCCTTCCACTCTCATGCTTTAGCAAGGAAAACAACGAAACAGTGCGGTTAAGGTAATCAAACATTCTGAAATGTTTAGTAAATCTGTACTTTCTGAATGACTACAGACCCCTCACCCAGACACAGGAGAGGTTTTTGTCACTTGTGGTCCCAGGCCCTTCCTCTGTTCCTCTGTTAACTCTCCTGAGTGTCCTGTGTCCCTGGCTCCTGACAGCCTCCCAATCTCATGCCGTGGAGTTCCCTGTGAATCCTTTAGAGCTGAATTCCCTGGGTCTCTAAGCTATTATGTTTCTGTTTTCAGAGACATGAAGGATCTGTCTGACCCGCTCAGAATTAGTCAGCACCATCTAACCTAGAACCCGGGTTGTGCCTCTGCCTTATGTGAGCGAAGCAGCAGCTGGAGGCCCCCCCCAGCAGCCTGCTCTTCTGCGTATTTACCCTCCGGACCCCTCCCACGGGGGTATTTTATTTCCTCTCCCAGATGGCGGGAGGCCAGGAATCAGGCATCTTTCTGTCTTCTGTTACCTTCCACTCTTCCTACTCCCAATGCCTTACTGGGACTTCGAGGCACTCAATAAATATTTATTTAATCAGTGGCCCTTCTCCCGTTCGTTGCTTTTCCATGTCTGGACTATGCCTCACTCTACCTGTCTTTCCGAATGTCCTGCTTGACTGCTTCTTTCACCCTCAAGGGGACCAAGCTGCAAGTTCCAGGCACCCCAGGGAATCCCCGTAACCAGCAGTCATTACATGCCATTAAACAGCTAAAATCTTGCACAGGGAATTCTCACGTAGGCTTTTCATGGAAAAGTGGTAACTGAAAGAGGAGGGGACAGAAACATAAAAGATCTGACCTCCACACCCTGTGCAATCTGCACTGCTATATTTAACTCATGGTATTTGGGGTATTTCATGCTTTATTTATTAGATAATAAATGCCCTTAGAGTCTTGACCTATTTAATTTCTCTGATGGAAATACCTTCATTTTTTTCTGACTGTAATGTTTATATTGCTCAGAATAGAAAAAATTCTGACAGTTTTGCAGAAGTATGTAGATGGAGGGATAAATCACCTGTAAATCCACCTCCGAGGGTTAAACTCGTCATTTCAGAACTTTTTCACGCGTAGTCAAGCATGTGCACAGAACCACAGACACACACAAACATTTCAGAAAATAGATTGTGCGCATTTTTGTCACCTGTTTTCTCACTTAGCAACTGAAAGGGTGACCTTTCCATATTCATAAATATTTGCCTAGATAATCACACTGAACACTGCATAGGATTCGTAGATTTGTATGAATTCACCATTATCTATGTAACCACTTCCCTAGTGTTGAATATTTAAGTTTTTCTACTTTGTGTCCATCGTAAGTGATGCTATAAATAACATTTTCTGCCTGCATCTTTGCGGCTTTCCCAGTGACTTTCTTAAGTATAAGTTCCTCAAATTTAAGCTTGTGGGTCGTTGTATTTGCACATTTTAAAGACTTTCCTATGTCATCCAATTATGCTTCAGAGAGTTTGGAACAATTTCATTTCAGTACATAGGTGCCATGTGGGGACTGAGGCGAGCAGGAGAATTGTATTTGAAATGTCAGGCGGGGTTACCAGATGGCAAAGGGAAATGTTGTTCTACCTCGTTGCTTTACATTTCAATCTTCGCAGCATTAGAGACTCTATTATGTTTATGTTATTGGCAGCATTAATTTTTATGAATTAATTAATAATTGCTGATAACATGAGTAATGCAGCATGATTCTTGATTTACCTGAGGATAGAGCCTTGCCAATATTACATGCTTCTGCTTTGTTTTCTAGATTATGATTTATTTTATTAATTTGGCTTCCCATTCTCAAGTGAAATATGCATTTCCTAGCACAGATCATTCATTTGTGTCTTCTTAAATGGCTTTTGTGGATTACCATGTTCTAAATACAGTCGATGGGAAAGAACCCAGTCTCTTGCCTCAATTATTCACGTTTGGGGGAGGCTTGCAGACAAATGTCTGATTTTTCTTTTCCACGTGAGTTGTTGTCTCAGTACATTTTACACAAAGGAAACAAAGCAGAAAAAATGTTGGAACTTGGTAAAAACAAATCCCAGGTGCACACGAATAAAGAAGGGTAGAGGAAAGGGAGAAGCATATGGAAAAAGGAGCCGAAAGGAACAGATGCCAGATGGAAGGAGTCGATGGAAGAGGCTGTCTAGGGTGCAGAAATGGAAAAGTCACAATGTGGGGAGAGACCTTTCCATTTCTCAAAGCAGAAAGAATTCCAGTGCTAACATGAGTCACAAGAAAACCGAGTGGTTTATATTAGTCACTGGGCCCAATTTTTTTTTTTCTACCAGAAACATGACGAACCATTGACTGCAGTGCTATGGGAAAAGTTATCCATTTCAGTGTGTATTTCATGCCAAAAATCTCAGCATTCTGTATGTGGAAATAAACATATGCCTGAACACTGCCTCTCCTCAAAATTGCCATCAAAATACCCCCATTTGATGGCTCTCAAAAGCAGGTAGCCACATTCCCACTGGGGACTGCTATGTAGCTGACTGCGTTTATCCACTATGGAGCTGGCCAGCGTGCCTCACTTCATAGAATTGGTAGAACCGTCCATTCTCCTAGACCTGCTGCTACAATTTGCTCCTGTTTTTCTCCAGGTCGCACTTGGAAGCCAGCTCTGACCAGTGGAAGCGTCTGCACCTTTCTCTTCAAGAACTTCTGGTGTGGCTGCAACTGAAAGATGATGAGTTAAGCCGGCAGGCGCCCACTGGGGGAGACTTCCCAACAGTTCAGAAGCAGAGTGATGTCCACAGGGTAAGACATTTTCAAGCCTAGTTTCTTGCACACAGCAAGCGATTATTTTAAAAATAGTCCTGATTAAAATTAAGTTGAATAGAAATCTTTTTTTTTTTACTCCTCCAGACCAAGGGTCAATTATAAATAATCCAAGCCATTATATTTTAAATGTCAAAAGTGTCTGCATTCATGATATCCTTTCAGAAACTGTTTGTCTCTTTTGGTTGTTTTTCAAAACGTTTTACTGTGGAAAATATTAAAAATATACAAAAGCCGACAGAATCCTATAATAATACCCATCAAGACTTCAGCAATTATCAATTCATGACCACTTCTTCTGTGCCTCTACCTGGCCTTCCATTATTTTCAAAGAAATCTCAGGCAAAGATCATGTAATTCATAAGTATTTGATAAAGTATCTCTAAAATATAAGGATTTACTCTTTAAATGTAACCGCAGTGCTATTATAATACTTTTAAAATAGCAATGATTTTATCATAACAAATATCCAGGCAGTATTCAAGTTTCCATTTCTCACATACATGTCTTAAATGTTTTAACAGGTTTTTTGTTTTGGTTTTTTTTTGGGGGGGG